CTCAGCAGGGTTCAATCCCCAGCATGGGATTGGGGGGGTGGAATTATGAGGTCTCAAGTATTTTGTTAAAGCAGCAGCAAACACACTACCTTTCTCCACCCTGTGGATGTAGGCATTTCAATTAACAAAGAGTTCATGGATCAACATCAACTTCTAGCAAAGGTGGGTGTGTGGGGCGGGGAGGAGAGGCTCTAGACTTCTACCCACSCATGTCAACTGGTGCCTGCCTGTCAGAAGACCAAGCAGAGAGCTGGTTCATCCTTCCATTCCCAGTAACTGATAAAGACCCCCTCATGACTGTGGTATCAGTAGAAACCAAAGTGAAGCCCAAGCCCTATGCCCCACTCAGAAACTAAGTGAGGAATCTCTCTACCTCCAGGGGGCAGTGAAGGTTAGAGAAGAAAGCTCAGCTGTCACCAAAGGTTCACTTCCACCGGCAGCYGGCAGTATGTCTCTTGCCCTTCCTAAGCAATGTCAGAGGAAATCAATTAACACAAAAAGTTTCAATAAGATATATAAAACACAATTCAAAAATGTCCAGATTTCCACAGAAATCACTCAATATGCCTAGAACCAAAGACAATCAACAGATACCAATGTGAAAACCACATACTATCATCTCACAAAGACTTCAAAGCAGCCATGATAAATACATCAACAAGCAATTACGAGCATGCTYGAAACAACAGTAATAACAGACACATCAGCAGAGAAATACAAAGTSTTAGCAAAGAAACAGAACCATGTAGAAATTTTAAAATTGAAAAATACAATAACCAAAATAAAAATCTCATTGGATGGGCTCAATAACAGTACGGGGGCGGGGGGGGTGGTTACAAAGAACAGAATCAGCAATAGAGAAAATAGAACAACAGAAATCACCCAATCTGAACAACACAGAAAAGAGAGCCTGGGGAAAAAACATGAGCAGAGTCTTAAGAACCTGAGGGACCACAAGGAAAGSTCTATTTATTATGTCAAAGTCCCCAAAAGAACAAAGGCAGAGTAGAAAAGGTAYTTAAACCAATGCCTAAAAATTCCCAAATTTGGCAAGAGACACAAATCTATGGATTTAAGAAGATAAGCAAAACTTGCTAAAGGATAAAAAGGACAGGGTACACACCTACAGTCCCAATTACCTAAGAGGCTGAAGCAGGAAAATCTCTTGATCTCCCAAGTTTGAGACCAGCGTAGGCAACATAGTGAGCCCTTGTCTTAAAAAATACAAAATAAGTAAATCCAAAGAAATCCAGAGCAAAACACCAATTAATTAAACTTTTGAAAATTAAAGACAAGGGAAAGACCTTGAAAGCAGCAATAGGAGGAAAATACAGAAGAAAAACAATTAAAATTATTTTTTTCAGAAACCATGAAGGCAAGAGGGAACAGCTTAAGAACTGTCAACTCRGAATCCTACATCCAGCAAAAATGTCTCCAGTGTTAAAAGGAAATCAAAGCATACTTAGATAAAGGAAMATTAAGACAATTTCACATCAGCTGACTTACCCTAAGGATGGCTAAAGGGAGTTCTCCAAATACGAAGTGATAAAAGAAGGCATCTTGGAACATCAGGAAGGAAGAACATGGTAAAATCGTGTAAGTACAATAGGTCTTCTTCTCCTCTCGAGCTTTTTAAAAGCAAAATTATGGCACTAATGCAATTCTAAACGTTTAAGACAATTTATGAGTAACATACAGGGTATAAAAGGAGGCAACGCCCTAATATCTAGAGTACACAAAGAACTCAAAAAATTAAACAATAAGGAAACAAATAACCCAATCAACAAATGGGCCAAGGACCTGAACAGACACTTCTCAGAGGAGGACATACTATCAATCAACAAGTACACGAAAATGCTCACCATCTTTAGTAGTCAGAGAAATGCAAATTAAAACCACTCTAAGATACCATCTCACTCCAGTAAGAATTGCAGCCATTATGAAGTCAAAGTGCTGGCAAGGATGTGGGGAAAGGGGTACACTTGTACATTGCTGGTGGGACTGCAAATTGGTGCGGCCAATTTGGAAAGCAGTATGGAAATTCCTCAGAAAACTGGGAATGGAACCACCATTTGACCCAGCTATTCCCCTTCTCGGACTATTCCCCAAAGACCTTAAAAGAGCGTATTATAGGGATACAGCTACATCGATGTTCATAGCAGCACAATTCACAATAGCTAGACTGTGGAACCAACCTAGATGCCCTTCAATAGATGAATGGATAAAAAAAATATGGCATTTATACACAATGGAGTATTACTCAGTACTAAAAAAAAATGACAAAATCATGGCATTTGCAGGGAAATGGATGGCATTAGAGCAGATTATGCTAAGTGAAGCTAGCCAATCCCTAAAAAACAAATGCCAAATGTTTTCTTTGATATAAGGAGGGCAACTAAGAACAGAGCAGGGAGGAAGAGCATGAGAAGATTACCATTAAACAGGGACGAGAGGTAGGAGGGAAAGGGAGAAGGGAAATTGCATGGAAATGGAAGAACCTCATTGTTAAAACAAGGGAGAGAAATGAATTACAGTAGATGTGGTAGAGAGAGAGGATGGGAGGGGAGGGGAGGGAGGATAGTAGAGGACAGGAAGGGCAGCAGAATACAACATACACTAGTATAGCAGTATGTAAAAACGTGGATGTGTAACCGATGTGATTCCGCAATCTGTATACAGGGTAAAAATGAGAGTTCATAATCCACTTGAATCAAATATATGAAATATGATGTCAAGAGCTTTGTAATGTTTTGAACAACTAATAATAATTTTTTTAAAAAAGAGGCAACATTTTTTTACTTAACTGATAAAATGATAACACTAGTATACTGTGATAAGTTAGCTGTGTRCTATCCRTGAGTGTTAGGGGGACAAAAAACTCTAAAATGAGATATASTCAATACCACATTGGATACTGGGTAAGGAGGTAGCTGAGTGGCAGAGTACATGCTTAGCATACACAAGACCCTGGGTTCAATTAATACCCWGCATCCCCCACCAAAAAACCTCCCATATTGATAAACAAAAATGGAATTCTAAAAATTGCTCAAGTAACTTACTGGAAAGTGAAAACAGAGAAAAGGCCAGGTACAGTGGCACACATCTGTAATCCCATCAACATGAGATGTGGAGGCAGGAGTTATCACAARCTGGAGGCCAGCCTCTGCTCAACTCAGCGACTATGCCTCAAAACAAAATTAAAAAAGACTGCAGATATGACTCAGTGGGAGAGTGTCCCTGGGTACAATCCTCAGTTGGGGTGGTGCAGGCTGGGTGTGTGGGGTAGGGCGCAGTCAATAATAAAAAAAAAAAAAAAAGAACAAAATTAAAATGGCAGTCTTAAGTCTAAACACATTATTAATAACACAAATATAAATGGTAAAAATATAACAATTAAAAGGCATACTATCAAAATGCATTAATAAATGACTCAAACTGGGTGTGGGGGCATACAATTACAGTCTCAGCGACTCAGGAGTATGAGGCAAAAGAAATCATTCAAGCCCAGGAGTTCAAGGTCAGCCTGGATAACACCAAAACCATTTCTCCAAAAGGGAAGTGGRTAGAGGGAGACAACTATTTGCTGCCTATGAAACTTCAGATGTAAAAGTATAGGCCAGCTGAAAGTAAAGTTTGGAAAATATCAGCTGAAGTAGACATGAGAGCCAAGAAATATCAGACAGTGATATTACATAATGAAAAAAGAATCAAAACGCCAACACAGTAAAAATTCTAAATGTGCTATATATCCCAGTAGAGATGCACAAAATGTGAAGCAAAAACCAGTGGAACTTGGCAGAAGAAATCAGCAAATCCACAACTGCTAAAGTTGGAGTCATTGACACGCCTCCCTTTGTAAAGACAGAACAAGTAGACAGAAAATCAGCAAGGACATAGAAAAACCTAACCCCATCAACAGTACGATCTCATGACATTATAGAACACTCTGGCCAACAACAGCAGGATACAGGTTCAAAATATCTACCATGACAGATAACATCCTGGGCCATGAAACCAATTTAAAAGAACTGYAGTCATATCAAGTATGTTCTCAAACCACAATGGAATCAAATTAAATCAATAAGCAGAAAAATAACAGGAAATTGAGAACTTTAAAATAATCTATGCATCATAGAGAAAAATGCAACAGAAAAAAATACATTGAACTGAATGAAAATACAGCATATTAAAATGAGACAACTAGCACAAATGATCTGAAAATGAAATCACAAAAAAGATTCAATTTGCAATAGCATAAAAAAAAGAGTTTAACAAAAATACAAAACTTAGAAGCTGAAATCATTCTTGAAAGATAACAAGGAAGACTTAAATAAATGATGTCCTTTGGCCAGGTTTTGACATGCAATATGCCCAAACTTGATCAATAGATTGAATACAATTCCTGTCGAAATGCTATCAAGATTTTTTACAGAAATGACAAGGTGATCTCAAAATCCCTATAGAAATCCAATGGATGAAATAGGCACAGAATAATTTTCAAAAACAAAGGTGTAGGAATCACACTCCTGGATTCCAAAGTTTACTACAAAGTTAAAGTAACCAAGACTATGTGACACTACAGCTGGACTGAAATAAATGTGCCTTAGYACAGAATCTGAAAGTAAACCGCACATTTAGTTTTCTAAGACCACTTTGGTTAGATTAGCCAAGTCAAGTTTTGATACCTGAAAGGGACGCAAAAATTATGGGAAATGTCATTTTCCTGCCCTTAAATTTTCTTGCCACTCACTGCTTGGAAGAATAGTTTGAAAAATAACCTTTATTTATCTCTAGTAAAGAATGTGTTCAGATGACTGGGGGTGCAGCAGCTTAAGAGGTACAGTGAGTGCTTGCCTAACATGCTCAAAGCCCTGGACTGGATCTCCAACACTATGTTCAAGATTTCGCATTATTTTAAATTGCCATATTTGGGAAAGATCTTTATTTTATACACAATAAAAATTACATATTATAATTAATATATATACCTCTATATAATTAATAACATGTAGGCCAAAGGTGCCAAAAATAATTTTAGCACATTAAAAAAAAAAAAACACCTAAAAGTGGTTTTCCAAGCTGTACATTTTCTCCAGAAAAAGAAATTCCTTGCCTTTACTCAGAAAAAAATAATATTTAGATATATTTAAAAGATGATTCCATTAAAAAAGGAGTTCTTTTGGGACTCAATCAATCTGGGATTCAGTGCATCAGTTATATTTTCTTTTTTCTCTTCTTCTTTTCTTGCATTTCTACCAKCTTCCTCTTCCTGGCTGACAGGCTRTTTCCTTTCACTGGCTTATTACTGTCACCACTTAAACCACATTTCTTTGAGTTAGGTTTTAATGTGTCTTCTTGCTGCACCATRTCACCAGATTCCTTTTTGCTGATCTTGGACTGTTCTGTATCAACTAAAACACAAGAGACAACACATTTAAAGACTGTTTTCCCCGTTTATTAATGAATTAAACAGGATAACAATAAAGTGACATTGTGTGGATATCCGCCACTTCAACAATTCAAAAGGTAACAGAATTTGAATTTTTTAAATGACCAATTTCACTTACCAGAAGAAGGCTCTGCTGCTGGAGGAGGCCTCTCTTTTGTGTCTGTTCCTCTGTCTAACCATACTCCAAGACACGTCAGCCTGGCATTTGTGTTCACTCCACAGAGTAAAGATGGGGGATCTTTCTAAAACAGAAGGGGGGAAAACTCATATCTAACAGAGGAATTCTGAATAATTATTTTAAAGAACCAAGTTACCTTAATTTAAAATTTATTGTGCAATCATACACAGCAATCAATGACAGACTACATATACAATGGTACATGCCACAGGGCCTAGCTCTGTAGTTGGCTCTACAGTTCAGGTTTGTATATACTCCATGAAGTTCACAAAATGCTAAAATCATCTACAACGCACTTTGTGGAATATAACCCCACCATTACAAGATGTATGCCAGTATTTCCTTGAGCATAAAACATGCTATTTAGAAATAATCTACTGTTTTGATTCATGAGTGGTTCAACTCTGTTGTTCACAGAGCCAATTTCTGAGAAGTATCCAGAAATTACAGATTCTAAGGAAACAGACTATATCTTATTCAYTTCTAGATTTAACAGAGAGGCTTGCACAGTGCTCACACTTGATAAACCGTATCCACAGAATGGATATCAAAGAATGAAAAATAATAAACTAGATCTACAGAAGGAAATTGATTTTTTTAGTTATTTGGTTCTAAGCTATTGTTAGTTCCATAATAGACTAGAACCTTCCCAATTGTTTTCAGTAGTGGCAGTCTTCGTACCTAATACCTTACAGAGGACCCTATTAAAAAAAAAAAAAAAAAAAAGACCAAATAGATGGAATGCAGAGGGAGGTCTGAGATCCTGAGCTCAGAATCACAAAGGCAGCTCTGTGGGAACCTAACTCTAAAAGTATAAATATCAATCATTCCTGGAAGAAATTTATAAAATTTACATCTATGGTCTTTATCCTTAAAAAAATTCCACCTCGCTCAACTTAAAATGGCACTAGCAGCAAGACTTGCATTACAGTGTATTTATGTTCTATTGTACTAAGATACTGACCTTATCTTGCTTTAGCTTCCACATTTTGATGAAACCATCACTTGATGCTGTAACAAGAACATGATGCTCMGGAATTTCAAAACTGAAAATGTCTTTTACCCTAGGATAGAAATATTAATGCCATAAAAGAYCTTTTCTCCAGAGTGTGATCATCATTATAAAACTTATAAGCTAGTCTCTTGCTTCAGTATTTGCAAACTGCTCAATGAAGCCCTAAAATGTAACTTTGCCACACATTCCCACTGGTCAGTGAGTTGTTTTCAGGCCAACTATAGGCTAAAATGGACTGTTTGATTAAGAATTAACCAAAATGATAACTGTAAACAATCTCAGGAAGTAATGATAACAAAACCCTCACCTCAAGCACCTCTGAGAAGTGCAGTGAGGAGACAATAGGAAGGATGATCAAGGTTCCCTTTGATGCACCCAGTTCCTTCATCTCCAGTGCCACTACTTCCAAACTGCTTTTTTCTTCTATATTATGGAGGTCACCTATTTGGCCTTTCTGCTTCCATTTCTTTCCCGTAGTTTTCTTTATTATTTTTTTCTTTTAATGAAATCAAATCTTATTACTCTCAGGCTTAAAGACCCCAAAAACTGAAATCTGCTTTAGAAGAATATGGGAGAGGAGGAAGTAGCTGTTGATATGAAAGAAGCCATAATGGCCCTAAAGTGACAACTGCTAAAGCTGGTAGTGAGTCTATGAGTTGGCTCTTTAAACTAGTTTGCTTGCCTATAATTTTCCTTAAGAAGCACACAAAACGGGCTGCAAAATAGCCCAGTGACTGAACACTTGCCTGCCTCACACGCAAGAGGCCCTGGGTTTGATCCCCAGCACTCCACACCCCCCACAAAATAAATAGAATAAAATCTGCAAAGACACAGCATAAAATTCAAATTCCTCACTCTGCCAATGAACCCAAGCACCATTTGATCCCCAAAATCCTCTCCCTTGCTCACTCTGATGGAGTCATGCAGGTCTTCTACTTGTTCCTAAAATACATTAAGTTCTTTCCTCCCTCAGTTCCTTGGAGCTGGGGAGTATATCTTAGCATCAGTATGCATGAGGCCMTGGGTTCCATTCTCGGGACCATGGGGAAAATAAACAAAAAACAAAAATATCTCATTCTTTTATAATCCTTTTTTTTTTTTTAAGAGAGAGTGAGAGAGGAGAGAAAGAGAGAGAGAATTTTTAATATTTATTTTTTTTTAGTTCTCGGCGGACATAACATCTTTGTTGGTATGTGGTGCTGAGGATCGAACCCGGGTCGCACACATGCCAGGCGAGCGCGCTACCGCTTGAGCCACATCYCCAGCCCCTCTTTTATAATCCTTAAGGACTTATTTAACCCTTGAAATTCTCCCCTCATCAGCCTATCTAAGTAAATTACCCTTGTTATAAAGATCTACTTGTTTAAAACCTATTGCCTCATACAATAGAAGAGCCATAAGAGTGTAAGGTCTTGTCATTTTTGTTTATCTTTAAATACCTAGTGCAGAACTGAGCTATAACTCAGWGGTAGAGTGCTTGCCTAACATGCATGAAACCCTTGTTTCCACCTCAAGCACCACAAAAAAACAAACAAAACAATCCTAGTATAGTACTACAAATTGTATGTTCAATGAATACTTGTGGAAACAAATGAACAAACAAATGGCTAAATATTCTTTTAGAAATACATTTGAAATGGCTTCCTTGAATGTGGTTTATTTCCAGTACAGGGAAAAAGTAAGGCCTATACATTGATTGCAGGACTCTGAGTACTAAGATGGATTTCTAAAAACAATCAAAAATGAGAATGAAAACTTGAGAAGTAGAAGAACATGCAGAAATGCAGATKGACCACATTAATATATAATATTATCACCTTTTCACTTTTATCATCAATTTTTCAAAATTACAGTGGAAAAAGCAGGGACACAMGTCAGATGAACTGGGTTTGGACTAGCTCCTTACCTCTGGGGTAATCTCACCAAGTTAATGAACTACTTACTCTGAGACTCAATRTCTATTGCATTAAGAGATAGAATTCAATGATGGTATTTCATTTTTTCCTTTAGGAGAAAAATATAGCATGGAAAGGAGAAATTGGACAAGGGGGACTAAGTAAAAGGACAAGAGTGGCCAGGGACAAAGTTSAAGACTACTTAGTTTATGATTTTTCAAATATGCTTATTTCAGGCTCCAAGTCTAACAGACTTATCTGAAATAAGTGCAAATGACTAGTTCTGATCACAACTTCTCCACTTTTGCATTACAAAATCCAGGAAGATAACATTTTCCACTATCTTTTTAAACTCCAAAAATTGTATACACATGTCTGATTATCTCTGTGGTTGTTCATAAAAAACATTCTGCTTCATAAAATGATTCCATGTGTAACATTTACTGAGACTACACATATACATGGAAAAAATACCTGTTTTCATGTGCTTGGGGGAAAAAAATACCTGTTTTCATGTGCTTTAAATTCACAGAGGCACGCTAGTGAATCACAGTCAAAAAACCTGACAACCTCTTCATCTCCAGCCACTGCAAGGACAGAGTCCTAGGACAGAAAATAATATCCAGAAAGTCATAAGCAGTTCTGACCATCTCCATAAACTTCCATCACTGATTTCTGATAACTTACTGAAAGAAAGGTAACAGAAGAAATCCTTCTTTCATTTGTGATGGTGCCACTAATGGATGCAGTGTCAAGCTGATAGACGTCTATTTTATTCAGTATAACAACTACATACTTCTCTCCCCTTGGGGACCATTCTACTATGTGAGCATCTGTAAGTTAAAAAAAGCCAAATTTACTTATTTTAAAAATAATGAGAAATAGTAAAAATAGTAAGTATTTGTACTGTATTTTCACACTCATTTTCCTATTTGATCTTCCMAAGAAACTTAAGGAATACATTGTGAAAGTTAAATTTTAGACAATGAAGTGAATTCAAAGAATTATTGAGATAATACAGCTGGTGCATGACAGAGCTACAAGAACTCAGATCTAAAATGGTAGAAGTAACCTTTGTTAACATTTGTTTTCAGAGGCAACTATAATAATGCAGGAAATAAATGTATACACATGCACATGTGTTCATACCTATCAAGTAACTGTAAAATATATTTCAAACAAAAAATACTCACTTTGTTTTATATTTTTTATGAAGGCTGATCTTCCCTCCACAAGATTCCAAGTTCTGCAAAATAAGAAACTTGCTTATGGTATGAATATCAACTAACATACTAAAAGAAAAGCATAAGCATGATAAAGCTTTGATCAAATTTATTAAAAACTGGCAATTTAAAGGGCCTGCCTTCTTTAGTTTAGCAACATCTTCAATTTTTTTTTATCAAGCAGGATTAAAGTTCATTCCATTCTCATAGCTGTTTACTATTTCATATCAATTGTTATTTTCAAAAGGTTTCACCTCTACAAACATTCCTCTTTGGGAGCACCTTGCTCTTCACTTCACAGCTATTGACAATTGAAGCATAACAGCATGTTTTAATATGGACCATTTTTATCCCATTATCATGAAACAGTTCACTAACTTTCTACCTTTTCTTTGTATCTCAGTATCTTTTAATGGGTGAAACTGTGGAACAATACAGAAACAACAGCCAACTGACATAGTAAAAGATACATAAAGATGCTTTTGAGAATTAATGACTTACCTTAATGTCTTATCTGTACCAACAGACAGGGCCAACTTGCCAGATGGATGTATAGAAAGGAAGGTCACATGTCCTCTAAAATGAAACCAACAAGTTAGGCTCCAACTTGACTGGCATAGTGAGAATGCCAATGGAAAAGAGCCAACTCACTTGTGAGCTCTGATTGACTTGAGGCATTCCCATTTCTTTGCATCCCAGACACAAATGAGTCCATCTTCTGCTCCACTGATTAAGTGCCTGCTGCCATAGAATTTCAGGCAAGTTATTGTACCTGTCGAAAAACCAAGATGGGCAAAATTATCTTCATTTTTAATACAAACTTTATTTCCAGTTAAGTACAACAGTGGGCTGGGGATGTAGGTAAATGGTAAATGCTCACCTAACAGGTACAAAGCCCCAGATCCCCRGCACTGCAGGGGCGGGAAGAACCATACAATGTCCTAGTATTATTTAAACCATAAAGTAAACTTCATCTTACCTAAACTTAGTTGAGTAATACTTGAAGTATTACTTAGTAATAATCTTCAAGTGTTAGGTGAAATAGYTCAATTGTTTCATTCCAGAACATACAGTTTTTTTGTTTGTTGGCTTGTTTTGGTTTTCCTAGTGCTAGGGATTGAACCCAAGGCCTTACTCGTGCCAAGCAAGCACTCTACCACTGAGAAAACACCCCAGCTCAAGGACATACAGTTTTAAGTCTATGCAACTAATCTGAGGTTCTTTCAGCTTTAGTTACAKATTTAAGCTAACTGGACTGGTTCATTTTCTTACTTTTGTCTCCATAATCATGATGGCTAGCCAAGATAATTTTAGCAGAAATAAAACAAAACCAACTGCCTAACCAGCTAATTTAGAGGAAAGAACTAAGAAAAAAAATTTACAGCCATGTTTCTCACTTTCTAAATAATGAGTTATCTATATCAGCTATAATTCAATCATTATTGACCTAGAATTATCATGATTTGACTTTATWCTCTGCTCATTCACTGCCATGAGAATATTTTAGAACAATTTTATAAAAAGATCATTTTCCAGCTATTCTTCTGGAAACTCCTTCCCAGGGTAAATAAATTTTCCATCACCATTTCAACCTATTAACAACACTTTCTTCCCTCCACCAAAACTGAAGCCTGATCTCCCACACATTTCCACCATCTTTTAAATTCCAGAAATCGTATGCACATGTTAGATCAAATTCTAGTCCCAAAGAAGTCCATATCTTTACAGCTTTATACTCAAGTAACATCCTCTATTCCTTTGACATTTGTGTCACCTCACCTCACTCTATTGCTGCTCTATAGCTCAGGGTCAAAAACTTGCTGCCTGTAGGCCAACTGTGGCTGGTATTCTGGCTCTGCAAATGTAATTTTAATAGAAAACAGCCCCAGTTCATTCAGTTAGAGCATATGGGGCTGCTTCTGCACAGCAGCAACACAAGCTGTATGGTCCACAAATATTTACTATTCGGTTCTTTACAGAATTCAAATGAAAACCTGTGGGTCACATTTCCCATCTATATACCTGCCGGTCAATTCTTTATACACTTTATATTGAAAAGAACCAGAGACCTCCAATGAATAATTTTGCACGTGACAGAAGCACTAATATGTGGGTTCATGTATACCTTCTTCTAAAAGTAGAAGCCATTAACCACTTTCCTCTCTCCCTGTCATGCTATTTCTTCTTTGGAAATGCTGCTCTCCCACATCTTCTTCTGCTCCTTCTGCCCATGACTCATATGCTCCCTAGAAAAGAGCTTATCTAATACTAAATGTTAGAAAAAGGAGTTTCAAGGAATTAGGCAAGGAAGAGAGGAAACCAGGAATCCTACTTCATTCTTCCCCCATCTAACTGCAAGTAAATCTTTTTTTTATTCTGAATATTGATTTGAACAGATCAGATTTGTTTAGCTTATTTCTTCTAAGCCTAAGAAAGAAGCCTTCCTTGTTTGAACTGGGATTGGGAGACACAGGGAAAAGGAATTTATGTTGAAATCACTCAAACCCTAGCTTCTGTTGAGGAGCATGACACCTGTCAAAGGGTGAGGAATGTGCAGAAGAAGGCAAACATTTATCACTCCAAATTAAGTGCTAAAAATCAATGCCCAGTGACCTCTGAAATATATCAAAGTGAGGTGAGGAAAAGGGGAACACATTCTATCTTTCTTKGCAGGAAACCCAACCTCATTGGCTGAGTTTCCCCAAACTAATATATAGCTAACCAATTCTACTATTTTGAGTTTCACCTTTACTTTTCCCTCCTGAACACACAATAAGTCCCTTATCTTTTTCCCCTGGAAAACTCAGTGACTACAATGTAAAATGTTTGGAACTGAGGGGAAAAAAAAATTTACCTATTCAGTCTCTCTACCCTCGGATCTTGCCACTCTCCCAGGCATCTTCACCGTCAGTGTGGTAAATCCAACCATGAATGKTTAAATACTAATCCTTAACCTCAACTCCAGTGCAGGGAAGTCTGCCTCCTCTATTTTAGTTTCATACACCTACAACAGTCAATGGGAACAGTGTGGTGCTCTAGGTGTACAGGACTAAARTACAGAAGAGACCATCTACCTCCCAATAGGACAACTGTAACCTACTCCAATAGGACTGTGAGCAACCTTTTTTATCCCAATTCTCTATCTCCTAGAATAGAATCTGCTGATATATAACAAACAGTCCAACAGAAGTCTATACAGTAATAAAACCTCCACATTATCTTAAAGGATACAACTTCTCACCATTGTGATGTACTAGGGCTCCATGTTCTATCTTCTTTTTCATATCATAAATGTGAATTGTTTCATCTTTGCTCCCAGTGACAACAAAACGACTATTCACAGCCACTGCTGACAAGGAGGCCGTGTGAGCATGATGAGTGAAGTCAGCCACAGGAGTCCATTGCTGCTGCTGAGTAAAACAGGAGATCAATACCAGTCACATCACAGTTCTCTAGAAACACAGGTTCCTCCATCCATAAAAACTACCAATGGATCCTACAAATGGGGAAAAATTACACAATGACATGTGGATTAAAACAAAGATCCTGAGAAGTGAATGAGAAATACAAGTAGGTGAGAAGCAATACTGAGTACCACGACTCCAGAACCCAATAATGGTGACAGAATTGGGTACTTTAAAATGTCACCCAAATCTTAAACTCTTATTATATCTACATGCGAGCCTTCCATATCACTCATTTATTCAAATATTTAAAATTTTATTTGAATTTATTTATTCAAATAATGATTATCTACCATATGCTTGGTACTACTTTAGGTAGTTAACTTAGCAGTGAACAAAAGTCCCTACACTAAAGAGCTTCTACCTCAGTGGGAGAGACGTAAACACGTTAATACAACTTTACATAAAGATAAGTACCATAACAAGTCCTAGAAAGAGAAAAACAGTATGAGTACATTTCCATTAATACCAGCCCAAGCCCTAGAGAATCGCCAGTGATGAGGTCTCAGGAACTTATTGCCTCCTGCCATGTATGTGTTGGGTTGAGAAGTGTGGCTGGTTGAATCAAAGAATGATAGAATACACATGCTTCTTAAAGGAGTCACATCAGGGGGGRAAAAAAAAGGTTATTAGCAAAACAAATCAAAGGGGGAGGGGGGAAGCCACCAAACTTCTTTGTACATGATTAAGATGTATTACTGCAAAATCAATCCTAAAGTCCTAAAGGAACAGATACTCCAAAGGGCCAAGGGGCCTTTTCTGACTCCAGGAGGAGCTACTATGGCTTTAAATCAAATAACCTTTATTTATTTGCATCACACAAATTATACTAGTTATATAGGCTACTATCTAGATTTAGAATCATTAATGGCCAATGGTTAGGGGATTGATGCAGGATCATACATATAGAGGTCTCTGACATTTTGTGTCAACTCTGCCATACTAGCTGTGTAGCCCTGAATAATCACTTAACCTATCTATAAGGAACTTTCCCTTAAAATGAGAATAACTCTATCTGCCTCTGAGGGTTGCTGTGAGGACTATTATGTATTTGGAACATAGTAAACAATTTTACTACAAAGAAAACACAGGAAAGAAGTACTCGGTGATACGGGTTCCAGGAGATACCTGGAATTGCATCAGGAATAAAATAGTTCTGGACTAGAAGTTAGGACATCAGATTTCTAGTCCCAGGCATAGTCCTATCTACCTGTTTGACTACTGTGTTAGCAATTCTTTATTCCTACATCTATTAAAATATATCTGCTACAATTTCTCTCCATGTATTTGTCTCCCTCCTCTATCATTCCTTGTCAGGAAGGTCCCTAAAGCAGGATCTGGACCTCTGGCATCTTTTCAACTGYCTCCTTACCTACTTTAAGTACTGAGAAACTAATGTGACTTCATTTTTAAAAATGAATAAATAACAGCAGCTTCTACCTCAAGGCCTGTCCTAAGGAAGGGGGYGTGACCCTTGTCCTTGGAAAAACCCACAGAGCACTCCTAAGCACATACCCACCYTGCTGAGTTGTTTGTCTGTAAATAACAGGAGAGATCTGAGGCACCAGGTGTCCCTAACTCAGTTAGGCTAGGTGAGGACCCATAGCAACCCCCCTAGCAACCTCCAATCAGCAGGAGACAGGGAAAATACCTGGAATGCCAGATGACCCCCAAGTTTATAGTGGTTGATAACACGTTGGGAAACCACATACACCCCTTGTGGCCTAAACCAATCAGTTCAAAGGAATCCCTCTCTTGTATTAACCAATCACCCCTACCCAAATTGTTCCCGCCATTGAATGTGCTAATCAATGTTAAGAGTTGTTGTTTGACTTTCCCTSGGTATGGAATGATTTGCTGTGTGATGTTGTGATGCACAGAGTATTCCCCCAAAACCTATAAAATCTCACTGAACAAAGGACCAGGACTCACTCCCTGGGACCAATGCGTTGGGAAYGATTGATCAAGYTTGCAATAAAGACTCTTGTGTGCTTGCATTGGATTCAGCTCCTGGAGGTCTACTAGGGTCCCATGAAWCTGGCATAACAGTACCCAATAAATGAAGGAATTGGTATTACTTTTTTTAAAAAAAATCTACGAAGAGCTGATCCTGATCCAGCCCTAACATTTTTTTAAAATTTCATTTACTTAGTCATTTTAGTTGTTGATGGACCTTTATTTTTATTAACATATGGTGCTCACACATTGGAGGCAAGCGCTGTGAGCCATCGAGCCACAACCCCAGCCCACAGACCTAACATTTTCTAAAATATCAGGAAAGTTCATGAAAGAGCAGAATATTCTTTCACTGGATCCTGAMTACATACACTGGTTGTCAACTTAAATCTACAAACTACAACTCACCACGTACAGAAACACCAGCTTCCTTCCTTTGTGGATTCTGTCTTTATTTTAAATTTAGAAAACTTAGTGTGACATTTCAATACTGAATACATTGTGTAATGATAAAATCAGGGTAAATGGCATACTCCAAATCAAGCATCACGTATTTGTGTTGGGAATATTCGAAATCCTCTCTACTAGTTGCTTTAAAGYACACAATTGTTGTCAATTATATTTATCCTGCTACACCAAAAAACATTGGAAGGCATTTCTCCCACCCAACCGCACCCCGGCACCGCCCCGATACCCTCCCTAACCATTCCCAGCCTCTGGTAACCACTGTCGGTTTCTTTGAAATCAACTTTTTTACTTTCCCCCTTAGCCATATTATCTACTATAATAACAAAATGCTATTTTATGTTGCAAAATGTCTATTTTGTTTTAAAAGATGGGCTTTTATTCAAGCTTCCATCCGTGAAAATCAGACGATCAACAGAAGCGCGGGCATGTTTACCTCGGCCGTGTGGGAACCTGGCCTTCCCCGCCCCCTCTCCCGCAGTCTCTCCACTAGCCGAATCTCACCTCTTTGTCGCCACTCGCCCGAGGCTCCGGATGTACTGTGAATCCGAAAAGGACTTGCTCATAGCTACCGGCGACCAGCTCCATTCAGCCGCGCACGTGCCTTTCCCGGGAACCCTGCGCGGCGTTAGAAAGCTGGCGGAACCGGATGCGAAGCGGGGTCCTCCCTGCTTAGGCGCTCCAATTACACGTCACATGGTAGGGCTGCCTGTTAAGCGCCTGTATCCTTGGACGTGTTTAGAGATCACGTGACCTTTCCAAGCGACGAATAAAGGAGGATGCCATGTGCTACTGTTCTCATTGCAAGGATAAAAATAATAGGAGCAAGCAGGCCAATTCTAAGAAGCTTTGAACCCGGCTTATCTTAGGGGAGTAGGGTCGGGGCGTACCCTGCGCAAGCCCCTCACTTCCGCAACTCTCAGGAAGGGGCGGAGTCGGTTCCTGCAGGGCGGGAGGGCGACTGGGATCGCGTGTTAGATGTTGTGGTGTGATCAGTATCTCGGTGCTTCCTCACGGGCTGTGATTAGATGTTAGGTTTTGTTTTTGTGCAGGCAGCGGTGGAGGGAGGTTTTTTTTTGTCGTTACAGGACGAGAAAGAGTGGGACTTGAGCTTCGCGGTTCCCGGAGCTGGCGGTGCCAGCGCCGGGGTCGTAGCCACAGGCGTGAGCGAGCAGGACTCAGTTTGGGGCCCTAGAAGTCGGCCTCCGGGGTTCCTGCCGGCCCTGGCCGGGTCCTGCCGCGAGGCACACCTTTCCTTCTAGCTTGTTTCGCGCGTCTTCACCCCGGGGTCAGATCGGCCAACGTTATGGCGCATCTTGGAGAGGGTGGATGACCCCGCACCTGAAGGGTACCAAGAACAGATGACTTGAGGGAGAAGGGCACAGTCATTGTTGGTGAAGAGTCAAGAAGGAAATCTGACGTTTATTTCAATTACCACCTCCCTCTCCCACCTGTTTCCAGTTTAAGGGCAAACGTTTTACAAAAGCATTTTACATTTAAGGTTTTAAATCGTAAGGTTTAAGTAGGATTTAGGGATGTGTTGGGAATTGCAGCTTTCTCACGAGCTCCCATTAGCGGAAATCTTAGATCATACAGTTCTCCTAACTCCCATATCAGGTTCATTTGACAGGGGTTCTTGCATAAGTCCATTTCTAATCTTCAACCCCACCCCCTTTGCATGGTAATAAATCCTTCAGTGCTTAGAGCCTTTTGTTTCCTAATGTGTTTGTTTTCTCTGGTGTTCTGAATTGCCCATACCTATTTAACTCAGTACATAATCTTAAGTGATGCATGTTTGGGTCTTGTGGGAACGATTTCGCTTAGATGCTTTGTCATGGCAGGGCCAGGAAGGGCCTGTATTCTGCCAACTTTGGCTACTCCACCTGTAAGCACTCAAGACACTGAAATGCTATAAACAAACTAATCTGTTCACTGTTACAGAGCATTTCCTTGAGTTGATACTAATGTTACTGTTACAAAAAGTCAAATTATTTGACTTTAGTTTCTATTTACTGTAATGACATCCTCCAGAACACCACTAGAATCCCAGGAATGGGAAAGTGTCTCTTTGACATGGGACAGATAATGAGTAAGGATGTTTCTTTGAAGTCTCATTTTATCTTAAACATGACTTTTGGCATCTTACTCTATGGCAGTTAATGCAATAGTAGTAGTCTCCCATTCTAAAAGGGAAAAGAAACTTTTAATAAAATTTTCAATATCACATACTTTATAGTGTTGCTTCTAGAATGTCCCTCACCCTGCCTTATTTCCCCCAAAGAAGTCTCAACTGCTTTTTGAGAAGTAATGGTACTCCTTAATATTTATTGAAACTAAGTTAGCACACAGGATAATTATTGTTGTTAAAAGGAAAATTATTTAGACCAATAAGTGTAGTAGTTTATGTGATTAGCAGATTGGGCAGGTCCCAAAACTAGAGCAATTCTGAGAATTCCAAGCAACGTGATCAGACAGCAATAATAGGAAAATGGTTGTGGGACATGAAAAATAACTTAATTAGTTATAGGTTCGTCCACTGACTGGCCTGTTTATCCTAACTTAATCCGTTGATTGACTGTAAGGCCTCCAATTACCAAAACTTGGTTACTGCGATTAAATTCTATTGGTTTGGTCTGTGGGACGTAATGCAAGTACCCACTTCAAACCCATTGCCTCCCACAAATTTTAAGATTGTAGCACCTTTTACTGTCAGATTTTTACCTGTAGAAATATTTGTTAAGTTTTAGAGTACGTTACAACTCAAAAAAAAACTTTTGCGGGGCTGGGGATGTGGCTCAAGCGGTAGCGCGCTCGCCTGGCATGCATGCGGCCCGGGTTCGATCCTCAGCACCACATACAAACAAAGATGTTGTGTCCACCGAAAACAAAAAAAAAAATAAATATTTAAAAAAAAAAAAAACAACTTTTGCTTCAACCAGGAATCTTAGAATATAGTTGGTTCTACAGTGGAAACTGTAGCATAGGCATCATAAACACAACAAAGTGATTTTCCTCTTTAAACTGTTAGAGAATCATGAAAATTATCAGTTCAAAAAACTTAGCATTGGGCTGGGTTTGTGGCTCAGCGGTAGGGGGAGGCCCTGGGTTGGATCCTCAGCACCACGTAGAAATAAATAAATAAAATAAAGATATGTGTCCAGTTACAAACAAAAAATAAATATTAAAAAAAAAACTTAGTGTTTAACACAATGCTAAAGATAGTGGGCAGGAAGAGGTTGTGGAAAAATTTCAGGGGTTTTGAATCCCTTGAAATTAAATGCAAAATGTGCCTATAAATTTGAGGAGGAGAATATTGATAAAATTTCATCACATTTTCAAAGATATGCCTCCTGAAGGGTAAAACACCCTAACTCAGTCTTTGGTGATAAATGCTGAAATATGTCCAGAATCATTTTCAAGGCCTCACAGCTAAGTATCAGCCACTATTGCTTCTGCTGCTGCTTTTTACATGTCCTTCTCTTGAACATTCTCTTCCACAGAGAACAAAGCAGCAGCATTTCATTTCATCCACAGCCATGGCAGTATGTTCATAACTTGCTCAGGTTAAAATATTCACTGAAGAAGAACAATGCAAAATTATACATCTGTTCAACTGGATTTGAACTGAGCTTATTTCCTTTAAAACCTGTTTTCTTCCAAAAGATGTTAAAAAAAAAATCTAATCTCATGAAAGCTTCCAGTTGCCAAAAAATAACAAACTATAGAAAGTTCTGTAACCAACAGTAAAACAACAAAAATTTTTTCGAAATTTTAAATTACTGATTAAAAAGGTTTTTTTGCAACTTGAGTCATGTAATGATTTGTTCAATCATTCATTCAACAGGTAGATATTGAGCACCTGGCTTTGATTTGGCAAGGAACCAGCTAGTTTCCTTTTGGGGTGGTGGTGGTGATAAGGTGGATATCTTAGGCTAAAATCTGGATAGAGTGGAGAAAAATCAGCTCTTTTAGAAATATCAAAAGTCTAATATTCCTGTTCAAATACCTTCCTCTCTTGATGTGAAAAGTAGTAATTTTAAATTGCAGGACTTCGGGGTTGCCTGTGGTTGTATTTCCGGAGGACTTTGATCTTTGTATTTTACAGCTAAAGGAAGCAGAGATAGTGCCTGTCAGCTTCTCATTGCTGTGACAATATACTTGTGGAAAACAGGAGAAAAGATTTTGGGAGGATTCAGAGTTTCGGTCAATAATCAGCAGGCTTCATTGCTGTTAATCCTATAGCAAGGCAGAAACTTGGCAGAAGGGTGTGGTGGAGGAAAGGTGCTGTCCTCCTGACAGCCAGGAAGCAGAAAGAGAAAACAGGGTGAGGACTCCCCAAGAACCTCCCTTTAACTAGGTCTCACTTCCTATATTTCTGTCACTTCTCAATAGTCCATTCAGCTATGAACCCATCAGTGGATTCATCCATTGATGAGGTCGGAGCCCCATGATCCAATCACTTCCGCAAAGTCCCACTTCTGAACATTACTGCATTGGGGACCAAATCTTCAACATGTGAGCCTTTAGGAACATTGCAGATCCTAACCATAACAGTAGCCAACTTTCCCTGGACACTTAATAGTGTCTATTGTCCACCCCTATATAACCTTATTTCACCTGCTTCATGGGAGTACACAGGGTTTGCAGTTGAGGATTTTAAGAGTAAAACATTTGTGAGTATTCTATCACTCACTTCCAGGGGCCCTAAATGCCTATTCTCATCATAGAACCTTGCTCACAGTCATTTATTCCCCAGCTCCTGTCATCTTGGGTGGTTTTAACATTGTACGTTGGCTTCTACCTTCCTCAACTTCCTTACACCTTATCAATGTTCAACTTCCACATTCTAGCTGTGGCCTCAACTCTGACCATTCATAGCCACATTTCTGATTTTCTTTCTATAAAATAAGACTAGTCCTAAAATGATAAGGAAAAATAATTTTTTAAGGAAAGAACCTTTAATATGTTTTATTAGTTATCTAAGTTGTTGTAGTAAGGGATTTTGTTTATCATTATGTTATAAAACAATGGTGGAAGAAACCAGTTTTAGTCATTAGGGAGCCAGACCTGTATGTCTTCCAGATTGTTAAAAGGTAATGTTCACTGATACTTGTAAAAACACTGTTCAGGATTATGTGTTTAGTATAGGGACCCCTATAACCTGGTCTAGCAGTAGAGAAGATTGGACTGAACTCTGAATTCAACATTGGCAAGTAGGAATTTATAGTTAAGAAGCAAGGTGAGGATCAGTGGGTGAAAAATCAACTAAGATGAAGCATTAGGGGTGAGGGGGCTTCTGGCTAAACCCATCTAACAGGATTCTAGCTGAAGACAAGCCAGGGTGATCAGACATCATCTGGGAGATGGAGGAGGGTGAGGAATCAGATCAGATAATGCACATGATCAGATATCCAGGATGAGGGGTTCTGGCTAAACTGCTTTAGTGGGGTTCTTTTGCTAGCACTGGATTTTATAATTGTGTGTACAAATAGGCCTAAGAGAAGGGCCAGAAGCCTGAGTAAAGTTTGACTAAGCCAAAAATAATAATAATAAACCTTTAGGACCCAGTGTTCTTGAATATAACTCCTCCTTGTGTCACTTCAAGGCCCAAGACAGCAAAACAGAAGTATTTTGGCTCCAAGCTTCATATCTGTAATATCTGCATTAAGCCTGGGAATAGGATGGAGGACAAAGAGACTTCCCATCTAAGCAAATGTCCTTTGTCCACATAGTTTTCCTCAGTCCACCTGGCCATATCCAGCTTCAAGGCAGGAGCTAGGAAAGAATATGCATTTCTTGGATCTATTATGCCCCAAGTAAAACAAGTTTTCTTTTAATAAGAAAGAAAACCTCATTTTATCTAGCAATGTGAGCCACAGGTGCTGATCAATAAAATATATTGAAGACAGAGAGATGCTGCAGTCTGGCTGGGCACAATTCACGAGCCACTTGTCAAGCAGAAACAAACTTTATTTTTAGAAAACACACACACACACACACACACACACACACACACACACACACACACCACACCACACAAGCTCTTCAGGAATTCCCTCAGAGCCCAACTGCCACCACCGGCTTCCCACAAGCCTCTCAACCTCCCCTACCCCTCCTGCTCTTGAGGCCGATTGGCTGGGTCGTGTGGGCAGAGCCAAAAAAAGTCCCCCAATGAGCAGCTGGAGATGTGGCTCAGAGATTGAGTGCCCCTGAGTCCAATCCCCCCGTACCAAAAAAAAAAAAAAAATTGCTGTGTTTAGCTCAGTGGCAAACACTTGCCTCATATGCACAAGACCTGGACTTCAGTCCTCAGCCCTAAAAAAACAAAAACTGAACAACAGAAATATTGCTCTAATTTTTAAAATAATAATAATTTGCAGTACTGGGGACTGAACTCAGAGGCTATCACCAAGCTACATCCCCAGACCCTTTTATTTTAATAGTTCTGGGATTGAACCCAGTGGTGTTCTACCACTGAACTATACCCTCTGCCCTTTTTATTTTTTCTTTTGAGACAGGGTCTCCCTAAATTCCCTGGGATGACCTCAAACTTTTGATCTTCCTGCCTCAGCCTCAGGGTTGCTGCTGGGATTATAGGTGTGCACCACCATGACTGGCCTCTTTAAAATTTTATCCTGTCCCTGCATTAATGTAGGGTGTGTGTGTGATATACACTTCTCTGCCTCTTGATTTTGCAGCTGGTTAGGATAATGATTTCAACCTGCAGGGGATTAAAAAGATCATTTAGTGCCAGTTCTAATCGAAGATAACTTGGGGAAAGAATATCAGATTCTGGTAGTTGTCTTAAGGTTTTAGTTATTAAAAGTGATTCTTACCTATGGCAAGGGTGCTGTGGAGACGTCTAGGTTCTCTATAGTTCTCTCCCTCTCTCTCTCTCCCCCCCCCCCACTCACACTTTTGCTGGCTTCCCAGGCCTGCCATTTGGGAAGGGGGCTGATTGCTGGAATTGAGGAAGTTTGCAGAAGTATCCCCAGCTGACACCAGTGCACCCCGCCTCTACCACACCCTTGCCCCCTTGTCAGGAAAGTCAAGCAATTAATTGCAGGAATTGCCACTCAATGTAATGACTCATAGGTTGTAAAAACTGTTTGTAAGGATTAGCACATGCTGACATTTTTGACACAGGAATCAAACTGTGGATTTCCATCTTCCTTTGTCAAGTTTTTAGATAAATGGCCAGATGGGAGAATTTTGCAAGTTTTGCCATATCTCAACAAAATAACTATTACTGCTGCTGGAAAAGGTGAGTGAGATTCTCCCCTCTCCTACTTTAAATGGAAATGAAGGCCCTTACGTTCTAACTAATATAATACTTTTGGCCACTGATAGACTAATTGCTTTGAACGTTAGGTGTTTTTGAACAATTGAAGTAGAAATCATTCTTACCTGAAACTTCCTTGAAAGAAAAAGGCATTGTGCGTGATTCTGCCTAGGTTTGGCATGGTTGTCATTCCTCTGCTATTAGAGTGGGCAGCCAGAATCCCACACTGGCCAGGGTTACCATATTGGTGACTGATATGAGCAGCCACAGCTCTCTTATCCTCTTTCCTGCTACAGCTACAGCTGTACAGTGAAGGGGAATGGACCCAGCCTTTATCCTGCACCCAAGATTCCTGAACACCCAGCTGGAAATTCACTTATGCCTCAGGTAACCCTCCCTGAAATGGATCTTGTCATTTGTGTGCGCAATGGTGTAAACATCATTTTTCCTTCTTGACACATTCATGTCCTCTCAAAGTCTCACACCCATGACTTTGGCTCTCTGTTTTTGTTTTTTTCTGTTTTGGTTTGGTTTTGGTGCTAGGACTTGAACTTGAACCCAGGGACACTTTACCACTGAGCTACATCCCCAGTTCTTTTTATTATTTTTACTTTGGGATGGGGTCTTGCTAAGTTGCTGAGGCTGGCTTCAGATTTGCAATCCTCTTGCCTCAGCCTCCCCAATTTGCTGGAATTATAGACGTGCTATGGTGCCTGACTGGCTCTCTGTTTTAATACCAGACAGTAAAGCTGATGACCTAAGGGGAAAGAAATTAACAGGCTTATTGAGGTATAATTGATATAAAAGGCCCCTGAAAACTTCTGCACATATTGATCTGTATATGTTCCTCAAATTGTATATATTTGATATATTTGGCCATATGCATAACCTAAGAAATTTTGACTTGCAAGTGATTTAAGAGAAAAGAAAGCTCTTTTCTGGAAACAAAATAATGAGCTGATGAACTCTTGACCTAAATTCTTGGTACTAAAGTGTGTGTGTTGCTGGAACCCAGGGCCTTGCACATGCCAGGCAAGTACTCCACCGTTGAACTACATACAACCCAAGCCCTCTAAATTGTATATTATCATCCCCAAATAGATTTTTACTCTTTTCACATTTAAACAAGGATAAGAAGTAGCTTTGGGATTTGTTTGACTATAACAGAAAACATGAGCACCCTTTAGAAACATTTTAATATTGCCATTACTAGAGTAATTTTTTTTTTTTTTTTTGTACCAGGGATTGAACTCAGGGGCACTTCACCACTTACCACATCCCCAGCCCTTTCTATTTTTAATTTTGAGACAGGGTCTTGCTAAATTTCTTAGGGCCTCACTAAATTGCTGGGGCTGGTCTTGAACTCACAAGAGTTGCCTCTTGCTTCAGCCTGTTGAGCTGCTGGAATTACAAGCACACTCCACTCTACCCAATCTTCTCCATACCCCCCATACCCTCCCTCTTCTTCGTTCCCTCCACTTCGGAAAGAAAAGAAAAAAAAAAAAAAAAAAAAGCCCTGTTGGAGTAGATCTAAGTCTTTTGGATCTTTCCCCTTTACTCTTGCTGAATCAGTGAGGTTAGGCCCTGTTTCTGTTTGGGGGTCAGGTGGGGTGCTTTGGTTAGGAATACAGTATACATCTGGCTTGTTTCTGGCTTCTGTTTATACGTTGTTTGCAGAGAGCTTTCTTTAAAATTTTCTAAAAATCCCCATTTGTGGGGCTGGGGTACAGCTCAGTGGTAGAGCTTGTGTTTACCATGCAATTCAATCTACAGCACCAAGAAAAAACCCTAAAATCTCCCATTTAGATGTTCTGTGTTTTTATCTCATCCTTTATCTGACTTTGGAAATGTTTTCAGTGCTTCAAAAAATTTCCTTCAACCTATCTTCAAACATGTGCCTGAATGTTTTGTTTCGCTAAGAATAACTTCTCTGGAAGAGGAAGGGCTGCACTAAAGGATATAACATTTAAAATGTTAAACAGGAGATTAGCCATGAAAAAGCCTTCCCTTTCCCTTACCGTGGTGGGCTGTGCTTATTTCTCCTGGATCTGTGTATGATTAGCCAGTCTCACAGGCAAGGGAAACAGGGCCTACTGTTCAGGGCCAACATCTTTTAYAATGTTCACTGGTATCTGTGTCCCATGACCTTGTTGCTGTCCTTTATCTATTTTTTCTGGTTGAGGGGTGTCCCCTTTGCTTGATTGCATAAGTTACTTGGGGAAATTCACACTYTGCACTCAAAAGGTTATGGACTTTCCTTCTGGGTTTGTGGTGATTGTGTGATGGCCTTGGCCTTAACATCAAAATTGAATTTAACATCTATCTAGACCCTTGGTTTCTAAAATTTACATTTGCTTTGCATCTTTTTTGCCCAAACTCTCATTTTCAATTTTGTTTTTAGTCTGTTTTAGGCGCCTCTTATGTAAAAATTTTCTCTTTAGATTTCTCATCTCTTTTTTTAACCTCAGTTTGGGTTTCTCCCTTTTAGCAGATGTTCAGTATTGCATCACTTTTTACAAAAAAACAAAAATCATCACTTTAAGTGTAGTGCGCTTTCTTTCACATCTTCCTTTCTTTTCCTCTTAGTGGTTACCCTTTGTATCTTTAAATAGGGAGATCTGGGTATGAGTATATCATCAGCTTCAGAAATTGTTTTAAAAAATTTCTCTTCCAATCATGAGAACTTTAAAAAAAAAATTAACATCCTTTTTTTCTCACCCTACTAACCCTTCCCTCCATTTTTCTAACCATTTTAGAGTTTTTTATATTTTTAATATTTATTTTTTAGTTTTCGGCTGACACAACATCTTTGTTGGTATGTGGTGCTGAGGATCGAACCCGGGCCGCACGCATGCCAGGCGAGCGCGCTACCGCTTGAGCCACATCCCCAGCCCCCATTTTAGAGTTTTTGATCCCCTTCTGGATTTTTTTGATCCCTTTGTCTAGTTGAATTATTACTTATAGAATGCACTTGTTCCTTTAATTATTATAAATATACTGTCAGTGACTAGTTACCACACTGCCATCTGCCAGTCATCCTCGTGGGTATTCCTGGAGGGGAAGCTGGAAGGCTCTGCGGTGGGTTTCTCACTCCCAAGACCTTATTTTGGTCTTGTCTGATGACATGTATTCTCCACGAGATGCTATAATTTTATTCCCCACCATGTTCTGCCTGGTCCTTAGCCCCCCAAATTCATGGGTTAGTCCAACACCCCAAAGAGGCCCCTCCTTTACATTTTGACATGGTGACTTGCCCAAGATCAGAGGAAGTAATGTGTTCAGAATGATTCTCAGGTCTTTGGGGTCCATCAGCATGACATCTTTAGGCTACCTCCAACTATTTATTTATTTATTTATTTATTTTTGAGAATTTTTAATATTTAATTTTTTTAGTTTTCGGCGGACACAACATCTTTGTTGGTATGTGGTGCTGAGGATCGAACCCGGGCCGCACGCATGCCAGGCGAGCCACATCCCCAGCCCCAATCCAACCATTTATATAGGCATTTTTCTTTAAGGATGACCTGGATGGGAAAAATGCTCTGTCTCCAGGTAGTTTCTGCTTATCCCTGGCCATTTAGGATTCATGTTTACCAGAGCACACATTGAAAAGGARGACATGTGAGACCTGGACCTTATATTTTAGGAAAGACCTCCTTTAAGCAGATTTTGGTGATATTGGCCATTTCCAAAAAGAAAAAAAGACACAGATCATGTGATTAGATTTATGATAACTATATCTTTTATTTTCCAAACTAAAACATATTTCAGAGTGAAGACGTGACATACTTTCACATGCACTGAAGAGAGAGATCTTTGGCTCTCAATATCATCTTTTTCTTATTAGCAAGGGAGGTTTCATTAAGCATTGTTACAGGAGTTAATTTCTGGGTTAGGACAGTTCCTTGGAACAGCTGCACGTGCCTGAAAATGAAAGTTCCCAGCAGGTGTGTAGAAGGGGTCATTAACATKTGTGCTGCTCCAGAAGCGCCAATAGAGTCTGAGTTAACCAACAGAGATTGACTTCAGGAGTGCTTCTGGAATTTACTTCTCTCAGGTAAAAACCATGATTGATTGGTCTGCTCTTCTGCAGCCTCTGCATTTCCTTGAAAACTTTAATGTCCCCAAACTTAGCTGAACCGTGGGTCTGGGTCATGAGGAAAATGTGTTTGTGGTGGAGACTGCAGGTTGTGTTTTGGAACAAAAGTCGGGGTACAGGTGCAGAGAGTGCCATCTAGYTCAGGAATAAGAAGTCAGGATGCCCAGGGATCCAGCCAAAGACCTAAAAGGTCAGTTTTCAGAAGCTACAGACAGGCCAGAAGCCTCTGCCAGGCATGTCCCTCCTTAGTGACTTTTCTTCTGTTGGCTCAGTTCACTCATTTCATAATTGTAGTGTTACAATATTTAAAGATTTTTCTGATCAAAATTCAACCTAAATGTGCTTAGTGGAGCTTAGWCTTTTAAATTTTATTTTTGAGAGCTAAGTATTTTTTCTCAAGAAAGCATGTATTGATGTTCAATCTTTATAATTTTCTTTTTTTCTTAAGATACCCATTTTTCTTTGTAGGAGACCACAGCTGCATCTGAACACCAAGATGAGGGTCCACTAGAAGGTAATGTGAACCTTGTGTCACCATGATTGAAATCAAAACTTAACCATGTCTCTTGCTTCTTAACCCATTCAGCTTGCCGGAAACTGTGAGATCTTCCTGGAACATTCCAGCACAAGTTGCTGATGCCTTTCTCTTCAGTAATTTGTCATGTTTGGAGAATCTGTTTTTATAGGAGCAATGTCAGCTGATCCACCCCTGAGGGGGTTTCTGAAGGATGGAGGGAATGGAGACATTTCCAAAAACTAAGACAACAGTGTGTAGTTTAAGATCTGTTCCCTCCATACGTTTAGACTTTGCGTTCTGCTGAGTTCAAATGGTGTCTGCCAAAGTTTAGGCATTGGCAACCCAAATTCCAAAGCAAGTGTTGGGAGGTGGGCCCTTTAAGAGGTGACCGGATCCTGAGGGTTCTGTCTTCCTGCAAAGATTGATGCAGTTACTGTGGGAGTGGATTCATGACAAAAGGATGAGCCAATCCTTGTCACCTGTTGTCCTTCTGCCATGGGATGATGCTGCAAGCAGAGCCTGGCCAGGTGCTGCCCCTCAATCCTGCACTTTTCAGTCACCAGAAAATGAGCTAAATACATTTCTGTTGATTATAAATCACCCAGTCTCAGCACACAATGGAGCATGACAGGTGGTTCTAAAATGACAGGCAGGTGATGGTTTCTATCATTCTACTTTGAAAAGAACAAAGTTTTTCTACTCAGGGAAGGACCCAGTTTTCTGAATGTGTCCCTTTTGAGGAAGGAAAGAAAATATTTTGCTTGGATTTTAAGTAATGGGAAAGAGACATAGAGGAGAAATACAGAGAACGCTGTTGCCCGATTCTTGTCACATGTCTCTCTGGTCCCTTTCTCCTACGTGAGCTGCTGCCTGACAAACCCACACACTGGGCTGGGGATGTGGCTCAAGCGGTAGCGCGCTCGCCTGGCATGCGTGCGACCGGGGTTCGATCCTCAGCACCACATACCAACAAAGATGTTGTGTCTGCCGAGAACTAAAAAAAATAAATATTAAAAATCAAACCCACACACTGCCTTTGTGATCCCCATCAAAGATGGGAGCAAACAGAATTTGCAGATGAGTGGGTACTCAAAGTACTTATTTTAAGGACAGGAAATAGTTGTTTAAAATAAATCTTTACATGCTATTGGGCAGTTCTAGCTTTTAGTACTTTAATTTACATATTTACTTATTTAGCTTGCTGGGGGTCTCTTTGGGGTTAAAGTATGAGCTATTCTCCATGCCTTCGTTAGCTATGCAGACATTAAAAATAATAGCAGAAGAGCTTATAGGAAGAGTGAGCTTTCTGAATCCACAATGCCAGGACTCAGATCCCACTGATTAGCTCTGTAATCCCCCCAAATCTCCAGTGTATGGGTTTCCCCTATTTTAAAGCAGGGACATTCATACCCCTCTCATAGGGTAGCTAAGTGTGGTTTCTTTCTTTCTTTCTTTCTTTTTTTTTGTACCAGAGATTGAACCCAGGGGCACTTAACCACTGAGCCACATCCCTAGTCCTTTTTATTCTTAACTTAATGAGACTCTGTCTCAAAATAATCTAGGGCCTCACTAAATTGCTGAGGCTGGCTTTAACCTCTCCATCCTCCTGCCTCAGCATCCTGAGCAGCTGGGATTATAGGCGTGCACTATGTGTGATATCTAAATCGTGTCTTAGCAGAAGCTGGYACCTAATGACCAACTGTTAGCTAGTCATAGATCTAAAGTAGCATGGCTCAGTGATGTCATATGAAAAAAAAAAAAAGACAAGAAATGTCTCTAAAGAAAGGTCCAAAGAGTTCTCAGAAACAAGGTGGAGCTCAACTCAGAAATAGCAGTGTTCTTGTCATAGTTGATGGAAAAACATTTCAGCAAGTGCCAGTCAAAGGCATAGACAGAGGTTTTTTTAGGAAAGCAGATACATATAATTAAGAGAGAATAAGGGCAATGTCAAGAGAGAGAAAGACCTTTGKGTTAAAGCAAGGAATCTATGTGCAAGTGAGACTGTGGGCTATTTCAAGAGAGAGGTGAGGTTTGGGGGTTCCCAGCTGTTCTTTAAAGGAAACGATGAGGAGTAGGTACGGAAAGGTGTGTGGGAGTGATATTAGTCCAGTGATCTCAAGACAGGTTCTCAGGGTCCCCAGGCTGAAGTGGTCTTTGTTATCTGATCAAAAGATATTACTAAAAAAAATATTTTAAAACATYCTATTTTCTTGTCCTTCCTTTATGTCTCCTTTATACCGGTTTCTTATTCTACCTCAGTAGAAATATAACACGAAACATCAAGCCATCCAGATAGATAATTTAAAATCTCCTAGAACTTTTAAGAAAACTAAAGAGACAGGTAGACTTAATAATATTTCTTTTTTTATTCTTTCCTTTTGTTATTTGGGATTGAATTCRGGGGCACTCTACCACTCAGCTGTGTCCCCAGTCATTTTTTTTAAAAAAACTTTTTTTTACTTGAGACAGGGTCTTGTGAAGTTGCAGAGGCTGTCCTCGAACTTGCCATCTTCCTGCATCACCCCCTCGAATCGCTGGAATTCTAAATGTGTGCCACCACACCCAGTCTAATGATATTTCTTTTACTTAACATATGTCATGGAATGAATGTTTGTGTCTCTCCTCCCAATTCTTTTAGGGACCCCTAACCCTCCATGTGATGGTTTTAGGGAACAGGGCCTTCTAGGGGTGGTTAGGTTTGGATGGGGTCATGTGGTTAGTGCCCCTATAAGAGTCACTAGTGAGCCTGGGTCCTGGCTCTTTGCTCTCCACCATGGGAGGACATGACATCTTGGCAGTCTGCCACTAAGACGAGGACCCTCTCCGTAACCTGACCATTCTGGCACCCTGATCTTGGCTTCCAGCCTCCAAAACTGCGAGAAATCRGTCTCTGTTGTTTATAAGTCATCCATATTTATGGTTCTTTTATAGCAGCTCAAACTGAGTAGGATAATATCCCAAATATTATTTCAATGTGTAGTCAAAATACAAAGAATTAAGGAGACTTTTACATTTTTCTGCCAAGTCTTTGAAATGTAATATATTTTTTTTCCAAATTTTTATAGTGGTAAAACACACATAACATTACATTTTTCACCTTAAACATTCTTAAGCATTAAGTGGATTMATTATCTTGTGCAACCATTACTACTTTGCATCTTTAGAGCTCTCTTCATCTTGTACAGCTGAAAGCAAATCCAATGATAATCTTTCTTTCCTCCTTCCCCTAACCCCTGGAAACTATCATCTTTCATCGAGGTGTGCATTTTATCCTCATATCCCATGCATGGATAGCTGTGTCCCTTATTCCGTAGCCACCTGTTGTTAGTGGCTATTGTGTTGAACACTGAAGGAGTTGGGTAAATATGCTGCTTTGTTGAGCTGGTTACTTCAAGCCAAGGGCACCTGGGGAGCAGCAAGTGCAGGGAAAGGCTTTCTYTGAACTTCCTTTATCTGCTTGGGGACAGATCCTCCAAAGGAAAAGGTTTTCCTGAAACCCCCCTCCCCAGGAATTTGATCAACCAAAGAAGCTTACAGGAAGGGAGGCTGAAGACGGASACCATACCCAGACATTCTTCTAAGGGCCCATTTATCTTTCCCAGTTATTATTTACTTTCCTCTAAGTTGTCTACTTCCTTTTTKCTCCCCTATAAAGAAGGTATATAGATGGGTGAGATGGTGCACGCCTGTAATCCCAGCAGCTTGGGAGGCTGAGGCAGGAAGATCACGAGTTCAAAGCCAGCCTCAGTAATTTAGCGAGGCCCTAAGAAACTCAGCAAGACCCTGTCTTAAAATAAAATATAAAAAAGGGATGGTGATATGGCTCAGTGGTTAAGTGTCCCTGGGTTCAATCCCCAGTACCAAAAAAAATAAAATAAAATTAAAAAAGGCATATAAAAAAGCTTCTAGATCTCACTTTCAGGTATTCACTTTTCTTTGATATGATGCCCCACACATGCACGTGATCCGTTTGTATGCTTTTTCTCCTGTTAATCTGCCTACTGTTGTTTTCCTTCATAGGTTCAATTATCAAATTCTCAGAAGTAGAGGGAAATTTTTTTTTACTTCCCACCCCCCTCACGGCAGCATAGGTCTAGAAGGCCCACGGGTTTAGGGAAGAYGTAAGCACTTTGCTTTCATAGACTTCTGTTAGAGCTGTGGCCAACACCTAGACCACAGAATATGGGGTTTGTAGCTGACCACACTGTGTCTGTTTTCTTGTCCACAGGTTATAGGAGGGAGGGAGGGAGAGAGGGAGAGGAAGAGGGTGGGGACAGGGAGGGAGGGAGGGAGAGAGAAGTGCCTTTAACTTGAAGGAATGGAACCTAAGGCATGACTTTTAGAAAGAAAATTTCAGAAAGTTCAGGGGTTAAAAATAGAAGCATAATTTCACAACTAGAAACTCTCGAAGGTTACAGGACTCAAAAATGTTAGGAAGCTCCCAAAATCAAGAATCGGACAACACAGTCACCAATGCCTATTTGATGATCTCTGTCATAAAAAGATTAATAACTCAGGGCGCTGCATCACAGCTAAGGACAGCTCTAGGCTGGGTGGCTTAACCAACAGAAGTTCACTCCCTCACGGCTCTCCAAACTGGAAGTCCAGGTTCTGGCCAGTTTGGTTTCTGGTGAGGACTCTCTTCTGGCTGTCAGGTGACACTCCTCTCACATGACCCCTGCTTCGTGCAGGCTCTCTGGTGTCTTTCCATATAAAGGCACTAATGGCACTAGACCAGGATTCTACTCTTATGACCTCACCAAATGCTAATTATCTCTCCAAGGCCCCATCTCCAAATTCTACCCTATCAAGGATTAAATCTTCAATATATGAATTGGGGAGGAAGTGGGGACACAGGCATTCAGTCCCTATCAGGCACACAAAGGATAGTCCTGGAATGCATTTAGACTTCCAAAACGCACAAAGGAAAACAGAAAGGGCTTCTTTAGTTACATTTAGTACAAGGACAAAAAAATAAAACAAGGATAATGTTAAAAAAAAAAATCTGTAACATTGAAAGTCTTAGATACCTTTGGAAATCTGACAACCTGGACTGCAAACCCAGATCTAATGCCTTCATGGTAACATCATGCCATCCCAGGTCTTCATGTGCTTTTCAATTAGTTACTATATAAAATTTATTCACTTCATCTGTGAAATAAGCAAATAAAGTGGCATCTCAAAGCAGGATCCTAGGAACCCTCGGTTCGGCTCACTGTGCTTAGGTCAGGAACTCGGGGCTTACCCGTGACCTTCTCTTTCCCTGTTTCTCCGAATGGAATTCATCTCTAGAATATCTCTTGAATCTCCCTTTTTCTCCTCCACCGTTTATGTTGAGTTTGATGATATTRCTGCTTCTATAACTTAACTTTCTATCTTCACGTCTTACTGAAAGATCACACGGAATTTTAAAAAGTCAACCTTTAGTGTAATTCTTCCTACTTGTGCTTTTTACAAACTCTCTAGTTTCCAGCCCTTTCCAATAYGTGTTCTGTAAAACACTATTTTCTTTGTGTCTATTATTGTCTTCTTGCAGATTCACATCTTCATTTGAATATTGAAGAATTAAACAAGGAGTTTATGTTGAGAAGTGAAGAACTCTATGACTCCCTCATGAATTGTCACTGGCAGCCTCTGGACACAGTCCACTCGGACATCCCAAATGAGACCCCAAAGTGAAGCAAGGTGTTCAGTATCTATCCAGATTAACTGCATTTGTTTTTGTTTTTGTAGAAAAAAAAACATCTTCCATGAATGTTCTGGATTCTGGATGTAAATAAAAACTTACAGTACCTAACTGTTATTGATGTGATGGATTATGAGGCACACTAACTCATCATCACCTCCATTCCTGGAAGTGTGTTACTTTAAATAAATGCCATAAGAGATGCTATGACTATCTTGGTAGAACAAGTTGTTCTCCAAGACAGAGGAAAACAGGTTTAATATAAGTTGGGCTTAAGTTTAACTGATGGTGACATTAGCTACTCTGTTTTGTGGACTTCCTGTAACATTAAATTTTCATGCAAGGTTTCTCATTTGTATCTTGTCTAGAAAATGTCAATTAGAACTAGATGTTTGTTCTCCACTGACCCTCGGGTGCTCTGTAAGAAAGCTGGTGTGATGGTGGAAGACAGTGGAGATGAACTTGKCTCAACTGAACAGAAAGATTCCTAAGCATGGAAAAAAATTGCCTTTTTCAGATTGTTGATTTTCTAAGAGGAAAGAATTGGGCCTTTGTAAAAGCCAGTTCTGAAACATAAATAAATAAAAGTCAGTGCAGAAACTTCAGTGAGTCTTGACTGTGCTCCTTATTTAAAACAATATTTTTTTGTCCTGAAGTTGAACATTGTGTCCTGTTTTATTGCTTCCCACCTTGCACGGAGACCCCTTGGACTGAGGTGGCTGACCTGAAGGCCAGAAGGTGTATGCTGYAGAAGGAGAGTTGATCAGACTATGGACAAAGGGAATTTGAGATCCCTTCTACTCTAGAGGTGTTTAACAGATGCTAAGTCTTATACCAACTAGGCTCAAAGACCTGAATCCCCAGTGGAAGGCCTGGTRGTCTGCGCCTGGGATGAAGGCACTGCCTCTCCCGGGGCAGGGCTTCTCAACCTCAGTCCTATTGCCACTTTGTCCTGGACACTTCTTTGCTAGGGAGACTGCCTTGTGCCTTATCCTGCCCTCTACCACTAGATGCCTGCAGCACCCTTGCACCCCACTTGGGACAACGCAGATGTCTCTGAATATTGTCAAATGGCTCCAGAAACAAAATTGCCCTGATTTAGAACCACTAGGAAAGGGCAATGTTTTTCCAATTGTAACGTCTGTCAGAGTCGCCTGTAGGCTTTTTTAGATTCAAATTCTTGTATACCATCCTCAGTCCATTTCAGTAGATCCAGGGTGGAACTTTATGTTAGTTAGCTTCTCATTGCTGTGACAAACACCTGAACAAAACGGAGGAGGAAAGGTTTTCTTGGCTCATGGTTTCAGTCCATTGTTGGCTGACTCCATTGTTCTGGGCTAGAGGTGGGGCAGGACATCAAGGCAGAGGAAAGCAGCTCAGCTCAGAGAGGTAGGAGAGGGAGGGGCTGGGGACAAAGTATACCCTTCCAGGGTGCAGCCCCAGTGACCTACTTCCTGCAACTAGGTCCTACCTCCAACATCTACCACTTCAAAATAATTCATTCAAATGATTGATCCACCAAATGGATTAATCCACTGATGAGGTTAGAGTCTCATGAACCAATCAATCATTTCCTAAAAGCCCTGCCTCTGAACATTGCTATACTGGGGACCAAGTCTTCAACACGAGTCTTTGTGGATACTTCAAACCATATCAGGCCTGAACATTTTGAATTCTCTAAGAAGTTGCTAGGTAAAACTTCTGGTRGTGGTAAAGATAACCACCTCTAAAAGCTACCAGCTCAGGAACTTTCCTAACCACTTCAGTTTAGTTCTGCCTGGAACCAAGGGTGAAGAATTCCTCTCACTCCCCTCCCAGCACAAGGCCCTTGCTTTCCCACAGGGCCCTGAGTTGTTCAGGCACCCACTCCCCCTCTCCAGCTGCGTGTTTTAGGGACCAGCACCAGGTCCATCTCCAGGGAGTGGCTCTTGCAAAGTCTGAGCCATGGGTAGTGATCCTATTCCTCTTGTAAGACCTTTGTTTTGGTGGAAACAGGATAAAATCTGCCATGAGCTCTGAGGACAAATTTTCCTAATTTTTAAAAAGGAAAACCAAGAGGCAGCTTCTATCTCTTTCTGAGCATCAGGTTTAGATGTGATACCTGGCCCAGCTGAAGCCAACAAGTAACCATTAGGGTACAACCTGAAGGTAGTGCTGGTACACTTAAGACAGTGATGACATCTATGATCATAATAGTGGCCTTGTGCTGTTGATTAGCCAACCCTAGTGTCTCTCTGCTTGAAACTTGTTGTGTATAATTTACAGATGTTCCTTGACTTCCRGTGGAGATTATGCCACCACAAATCCTGTCCATTAAAAAAAAAAAGCTAAGTCAGAAATGTATTTAACACAATGACCCTATTGAACATCATAGCTTAGCCTCTCCTACCTTAGACATTCTCAGAACACTTGGCTTATAGCTGGGTAAAATTGTCTATCACAAAGCCCATTTTATAATAGTCCAATAGTTGTATATACACACAGATGGGCATTTTGAAGATATGATGGGAAGCTGTGTTAGCTTTTCATTGCTGTGACTGATTTCATCTGACCAGAGCAACTTAAAAGAGGAAATGTTTACTTGGGGCTCATGGTTTCAGAGGTCCAGTGCATGGTTGGCCAGCTCCATGGCTCTGGGCCTGAGTGAGGCAGAGCATCATGGCAGAAGGGCATGGGGAGGAAAATTGCTCAGCCCATGGCAGCTGGGAAGCCAGATGTGCAGGATCCAAGGGCAAGATCTAATCCCCGAGGGCACACCTGTCTACAGTCACCTCCTGGTAGTCCATTCAAATTACTAGTCCATCTAAAGAAAATATGGCATATATACACAATGACGTGTTCTTCAGTCATAAAGAATGGAATTATGTCATCTGCAGGAAAATGGATGCAACTTGAGAGCATGATGTTAAGTGAAATAAGTCAAACAGAAGGTTAAGGGCCATGTTTTCTTTCACATATAAAAGAGAGGGAAAAAAGRAAAAGAAAGGTGAAGGGAGTAGCTCATGAAAATCTAAGGCAGATCAGTTTTAGAGTAAAAAAAAAGGGACAAGGGAGTGAGGGAGTAGGGAAAGGGAGGTACTGGGGAACCAATATTGATCAAATTATATGGTTRTATCATGTGCATGTATAAATATGTAACAATGAATTGCACTACYATGTATAATTTAGATACACCAATAAAAATATGAGAAAAATGATTAACCCATCAAGTGGATTAATCCTCTGATGATATTATAGCTCACACAATTACATCACTTCACCTTGGAATATTCCTGAATTCCTTAACACTGGAACTTTTTAGAGAAAAATCTCATATCCAAACCATAACAGAGGCTAAAACACAACATCCAAAAAATGCTGGGCAACATAGTTCGCTTTAAAATATCAGTGTTTACCTTCAGGATTACGTGGCTGGCTGGGAACTGTTGCTTGATGCCACTGTCCAGCATCACAAGAGAGGATTGTACCAAATTCCAAGTCCAGTTCTACTGAATGGGTATTGCTTTCACGCCACTGTAAAAGTCCAGTTAAGTTGAACTGTTGTAAGTTGGGGCTGTCTGTATCTTCTCTTTAAGCCACTCTGAATTTTTGTTATTTGTAGCAAAAGTATCCTAATGGATACAGATAAAATGTGTAAAGAATTTGATGTCCTTAAGTCCAAAAGACGCCCATCAGTATGGACAGAGCGTGYTGTCTAACATGGCAGCTACTAACCACGTGGGCTATTGTTGAAACTTTCTAAATTTAAAATGAAAAATCTAATGTATGATATGTCAAGGTCATTGTACTGTCATGTGTAACTAATTAAAACAAATAAAAATAAAATGAAAAATCTGCTCCCTCATTTACACTTGCCAYATTTCAGTATTTTAATAGCCATATATTTGACCAAATTAGGCAGCACAGATTGTAGAATATTTCTATCACAGGCCAGTGTCATACAATAAAAACTGTGCCCTTAGGAGGAGAACAGTTAGGTTCATTTCTCAACCTTTATTTAGACTTTTCCCCTAATTWTCCCCTCCCTCCACGAAATGTTCATTGCATAGATACATCTACTCTATGTCCTTTATACATTAGAATGAGCCAGAATTTTTTTTATCTCATCCCCTCTAGAGCCATTTGTCACCTCCATGGGGTGCTATTGTCACCTGTTGAGAATGCATGCGTCAGCATCATGGCCATAAATAAGTTCAAACAAGGCTTTTAGGTCACCATGAAGAATATGGATCTTACTAACACTATCTGGTCTTTGTATCTTTATTTAGTTATTTAGTTAGTTAGTTATAGGTGGACACAATGTCTTTATTTTACTTTATGTGGTGCTGAGGATCAAACCCAGTGCCTCATGCATGCTAGGTRAGCGCTGTACCTCTGAGCCACAACCCCAGTCCTGTAYCTTTATTTTTATTTTTATTTATTTRCTTATTTTTCTTGAGACAGGGTCACACTGTGTTGCCCAGGCTGGTCTCAAACTCCCAGGCTCAAGCGATCCTCCTACCTCAGCCTCCCATGGAACTGGAATTATGCACTGTATCTAGCCTAGACCTTTGTTCTTGAAGTTCAAAGTTCCAAAACAATGGGGATGTATTTGTATTAATATTAAAGAAAAAAATAACACACACACACACACACACACACACACACACTGATATACCAAGAACTAGGTAATGGTTTATGCTTGTTCTGTTCCCCTAAGTTTTAATTTATTAATTAATTAATGGTGCTGAGAATTGAACCCTGGAGTACTCTATCAATGAGCTACCTCCCCAGTCCTTTTATTTTTTATTTGAGACAGGGTCTTGCTAAATTGTCAAAAGACTGGCCTTGAACTTGTGATACTCCTGCCTCAGCATCCCAACTTGCTGAGATCCCAGGTGTGTGCACTGTGCCTGGTCTAATTCGGTTTTTATAACAACTAATGGGAGACCTAAACTCTCTTGCTGAAATTCTCTTTGGCCTACTCCAAAAAGAAAAGGATGGAACCTCCTACTCCAGTGTTCTTATTATAGATTGTTACGTTAGTGGCCCCAAATGAATCACTTCTAAGTGGCTAT